TACAGAAAATAAAACGTAACACACACGTCTGCAACTGTCTCCCGTGGTACAAGTCAGCATCCATCCTTCAACAGCCGAGCCGAGCTGACAAAGAACAATTGGAATGTTGGTTACTGTAAACTCCGTCTTACCTCGCCGGCCATAGGAACGTGCCAGTCCACTGCTGATAATAGTTAAGCCTACATGCCACAATATATGGCCGATTCGAACCTCGCCTTTGCTCTTATACACGATTTGATGTGCTCTCATTTGTAAAGAATCTCACTGAACACTTTCTAGTTCACGCTTACGTGAAAAATGTTTTAGCAGACGCAAATATTAACGATTTACAATCCAGTGTTAACAAAATGTATCACCTTCTTTAATGATCATTAACTTTCTAACGTTAACCGGTTGATATCTGCAACGGTGAAGAGGTGTGTTTTCTTTGCGGTAAGGACTGAATTCTTAAATATTATCCAGACAAGCATTGGCTTCTAAAGGTTTCGAATATGACCAATTATAAATAATTTAAAGACATACAAATATTAATTTTCTGCGGATGTTATGGAAAAATTATATTTTCAGGCACTTCCGGTATTAATAAATTCTCTGGCATACTGGGCGTAAATCTACTGGAAGCGTTTAAACTCTACCTAAAAAAAAATGTCACATTTCAATTATTTGCCGAAACTTCTACTCGAACAGATGAAAAGCTATTCTGAGGAACTGGATCTTACGAGCATAAACAACTCACGAACCCTGGACGACTTCAAGCAAGACATTAGTGTGCAGAAGATGATCACGGAAAAGTCTGTGCTATCCCAAACAGTTATTCAAACGTTAAGTCGGCCGCTAGAACATTCACGCGTAAGGTGTGTGATGTTCTGCACACAAAGAAGGGACAAGCTGCGTCTTAGACATTTACCAGAACTTCACCTGAGCACGCACTGTTCCAACGATGACGTGTACCTACAAGTCTACATGGCGTTACTAGGCAAAATACCAAGATTATCTAATACGTCCAGTAGCTTAAGAATTGCGTAGGATATTTCATTACAAGGACAACTGAGTGTTACGAAATAACATAACAGTGTTGTCCTGCATATCTATACATAGGTCTATTTGCCACAAGATTTTGCGCATTAAACATTAATTCTGTTACAACATCGACCTTCGGATGGCTTCCATCTGGCCTCTTTGCAACATCCAGGTGTTCAATAAACCTACTCAGAATACCAAGTTCCACAAATTACATCTCATGTAGGCTAAAGAGTGTAACATGTGACGAACTCCGTTCGGCGAACAGCTTTTCTACGCAACTTCAAGGTGGCCCTGAACTGTTTGCCGCGTGCTAAATTATTGCAAGGTGCATTCACAAAGACAAACAATTCCACGATGCACCTTAAAGAGGCCTCTCTTCTTTAATGTCTAAATCGGAAATTATTATATGCGTGTCGGAAACAACACTAAAACCATACACCCACAAACATCGTTAGCATCATCATCTGTATCCGGAGACTCGGTCCATCACCTATTTCAGACTTCAGCTAGACCCATAACGATGACACGAAAAAACATTACTTCAACGCGAGTGTTCACTCATAACGAAAAGAATATCGCGAACAATGGCGGATGTTCTGGTCTGATAAGTTCTGAGATATCAGACCACTAAAACTGGATACATATAAAAGAAATGTAAGGATGGAGGCAAATTGTTATTACTAAAATACGAGGCGCGTCCTCAAAGTAAGTTTCCCACTCGTCCCACAGCTAGCAAACATTATATTGCGCGAAGCGACTGTGCGTACGTGATAGAGCAATGACGTAGCATGGCGCATGCACTAACGGCACTTCCCGCGTTCTCACAGTAGCATCGTTGCAGCTGTTGAAGATGGAGGTTCTTATTCCAGCTCCCGCCGACTGTGAAGTGCGGTCAGTGATAACGCTAGGCCGCACACGGCTCAACGGACAGCGAGTCTCCTGCAGGAGTTCAGCTGGGAGGTGTTTAATCATCCACCCTACAGCCCGGACCTCGCTCCCAGTGATTTCCATCTTTTCCTACACCTCAAGAAATTCCTGTCCGGTCAGCGTCAGCGTCAGCGTTTTGAGAATGACAGAGAGGCGGAGATGGTGGTCACACAGTGGTTCCAATCCCAGGCGGCAGACTTCTACGACACAGGTATTAAAAGTTGGTCGAACTGTTATGCGGTTGTTGGACGAATTACAAAATATTTCATTTATGGATTGCCAATAAATGCCAAACGGCGACAAGATGAACTATAAACAAGTGATTGACAATTTAAAACACTCCCCCCCCCAAAAAAAAAGACAATTACATTGAAAGTCTTTCGGTTTTATGGAAAAAGAAAATTGGAAATAACTTGGTGCAGAATATTCCTCCTTGAGAAGCTAACTGTCGCTCATCGACGTGATGATTACTACATAAGAGAAGACAGAAAAGTGCGAACATCACGCCAAGGTAGACCGCTTTCCCACACGACAAAACCTTTCATAAATCCTCAACATGTTCATGACGTTAACCGCACCTGAAATTACAGTGAACGTCTGCCCAGTTGCAGAAGTAAGACGAACTGGTCTTGAAAACCATTAAACAAGTACTAGGTAGTGGAATAGCCATTCCTGAGATCATCTTTGTCCAACTAGCTAGAATTCCCCAAGTTTATTACTGTACTCACAAGAACCCACAATTGTACCTTATCCTTAGCCAGTTGAATCCAATGAATAATGAAATCCATTTTAATATCATTTTCCGACCGGCCTCTGCAGTTACGCCCAGCTTCTCGATGAACTTACATTTTCGCGGACACAGAATTCAATGGATCGGTTTCCATTTGCCAGAAGTAACGACACAGCTCACCACTCCACCCCCAAAAAAGTTAACTTATCCTCAACACATTGCTCCGGAGAAGTTTTTAGGCCCACATTTTTTTTCGAGCACTGAAGCAGAACGGAAACAAAGTAAGTGTGGACGCTCATACCTTGTGCAAGGCACTAAATATGTCGAAACTGTACCAGAAACTGGAGCAAACGGTCCAATGGTGTCAACGCATGGTTCACTTAGAAGTGACTAAGCAAACAGTGGGTAATCAAGGGGTCTAAACTCCATCGGGATTCGATTCGCGATCCTCCTCGATAAGAAACAGTAACGAAAGCAGGTCTCCTTCACTCTCCAAAGATAAAAAAAAAAGTTACTCGTCTGAGCCAGCATTGAAGTCTCCACAGCAGAATATTGCAAATATTCAGGACGCATGACTCGATTAGTGGTCGGAACCTGCAAAATTCTTTTTTGGCTTTGAAGGGATGCAGGTTCTGAACAAACAAAAAAGAACCCTTTAAAGCTTAATGGTAACTATATGTACCAGCTGCTTTAACAATCAGCAACTTCGCATTTTGTATTTACGGGTTTCGTACGATTCCCAGTACAAATTGAGATTATTTCCTTAAACAGCGTTAACCAGTTGATCTTTGCAATGGTGAAGTGTAGTGTTTTCTTTGCGGTACGGACTGAATTCTTAAGTTTCATTTGAAAGAGCTTCGGCTCCAAAGGTTAATTAGCGTTTTAGTCGTATTATTTCCTTAAACAGCGTTAAAAAGTTGATCTTTGCAATGGTGAAGTGTAGTGTTTTCTTCGCGGTACGGACTGAATTCATAAATAATGTTCAGACGTCCTCCGGCTTTAAAGGGACCATAAAATAATGAATATTAATTAGAAATAATAAAATATTAAAATTAGCCTCGACTGCCTGTCCTCTAGATACGTGCAGGGCGTGTATTAGCCAAATGACAAGGCGATAATAAAAGGTCAGACAAGGGTTTCGGCAGAACACACTTGTTTGTATGTAGTTGTATCCGGCTCATTCATACATAAAGACCGAAAAAAGTAAATCATCTATTAACTGCTCCAGCCGAATTTGTAACGGGGTACGATTTTCAAATTGTCATAATCCCAAGTCATTGGACTGACGTGGATTCTAACAAGACCGGCGTTATTTACAACACGGAAAACGTCACGAAAGCACTGCACAAACAATATCGCAATTCTTCTTTTTAAAAAAAATGCGACAGCTAGCGCGGAAGTACAATGGTACAATATTTCTTTGTTGCAAGCCAATTTAACAAAAATAAGTCCGTCACGATTCTGACCTCATTTTTATTCCGTTCCCTTCACCCACAGCGACCGGATAAGTTTTCCATGGACTCGCCTCTCCAATTTTCCCTAATCTGATGACAGAGACATCTACGCCTGGTTATACAGCCAACGTCCTTCGCGATTTCCTCGACTGCATGTACGAGTTCGCGGAAGGTAAAAACTAAAATTAAGCGAGTCTGGTAGCAAGAAATGCAAAGGAAGCTATGGTGGGGCCTAGCGCAGCCTTCGTGTGGCGACAGTCTGTCGGTCTCCGCTGGCACGTTCGGCTGTGAAGACTTTTTTACCATTAATTGACTTTATAAAGAAATTTAACAAGTGTCATACTTCAAATGTGCTATTCAACACAAAAAAGGGGTTCATTCCCGTCACCTTTGACGGGTTTATTTATTTATTTATTTAGTGTTCTGTCTGACGACAGGTCCATATGAACAGGATCCTTCGATCCTTTTCTCGGACTGGGACCTGTTCATATACGTTCTTGGCAGATGATCCAGAAGTGGTTTGCCATTGCCTTCTTCTGTGTGTGAATGGAGTAATTGGTGGGATGCCACGGAGGAAAACTCCGTGTTGCCAAGACCACGGCCTTGCCCAACACAAGTTATAAATCCGCCCTTTTATGTAATGGACACAAACTTTTTTGGGGTGAGGGCAATCAAGAGGATATTTCAGTTCACACACTCATGTTTTTCTACAACTGAGGTGCTCTTATTATTTTGACATTTTCAAGGTGCCTGCAGTCAACTGTTCTTGGGCGCTAATAGCAAGTGTTTCTACGAGGCAATTGTCAAGATGAGGCAGTGGGCGGAAGACAGGAAACCAAAATCACGAATAATCACAAGAAACTGACCTTGACTAGATAAGCTATGTGACCCCGCTGTAAAGCATCCGGTGGGTGAATCCAGTTTCTGTTACCTGCAACAGAAAGAAATGTATCAAACTTTTCCATTTAAGCACAATGGCGAGGTTGTACTCACCACCTCCGAATCTCCTGAACAGATATCGATCAAAATTGTCACTGTTGGATTTCTGGACTTTTTCCACTGTCTATTATTCCAAACGGAACAAAGCATTTCGTAAACTTTATCTAATTAAATCCTTTGGGGAAAAAACATGTGGTTACTGTTGAGTAAATGAGATGTGTCCCGACATCCGTCAAGAATTAAAGCTCGTGATTTTTTAAATTATAAAATATTACAGGTTTACAAGAAAAAGGTCTGTGTGTGCAGCCTAAGATAAAGATGCGCCCTGTCTGACCCTGATCGCACTGCAGAGACCCGGGTGACCGTAACCGGTGTGTACAGACAGATCAAAAGACGCTGCAGTGAACCTCTCGAGCACGTGTTTCGGGATGATCGCGCTGTTTGTGCTGGGGCTCGCGAAACCGTCCACATTCACGGAGAACAAGCAGTCTGGACGCATCTTTCGCAGAACTGTGGACGTAAGAGGTAACTCAACTTACCTGCCGACTTATTACCGGTTTGCTTATTGTTACTGTTGTTCTGTGCCCATTTAAGAAGCGTTGAGTTCCTCATCCCGGCTCGACAAGCGGAACCTCCCTGCAACAGGACATCAGAATGTCAGTAAAGGAATGCTGTCTGTCACCTGCCTGTTGACTGTCAATATACAGACATTTTAAATATAACGTACGCGCCCTGACTGTCGTAACGAAACAGTAGACTTACGATTTTGGAAAGTTAACGTGCAAAAATGTGCAAAATACAGCCAATGCTTGTAAATAATATAATAATTTATTCACCGTCCATACACAAACTTAAAATGTTGTTAAAATTACTTAAGATTACATAAAATTACAACATTTTTTAGAATTAGATCTTGATACATTTCACATTTGACGACATGTTTCGGTGTATTTCACCATCATCAGGTCAATCAATTTAAAACTGTTTTAAAAACTGTTGTACATCCTGCTCCGCGTATATTGATATGTTTGACTGTTTTGATTTCCTTCCTTTTAATGCTTGGATGTTTATAGCTGTAATATTAATTTTCAAATCAAAACAGTCAAACATATCAATATACGCGGAGCAGGATGTACAACAGTTTTTTAAAACAGTTTTAAATTGATTGACCTGATGATGGTGAAATACACCGAAACATGTCGTCAAATGTGAAATGTATCAAGATCTAATTCTAAAAAATGTTGTAATTTTATGTAATCTTAAGTAATTTTAACAACATTTTAAGTTTGTGTATGGACGGTGAATAAATTATTATATTGATTACACAAACATGACGCAGTTAAGATATAAAGCTTGTAAATAACTTGCCAAGAATAACATTTTTGCCAAGTAAATTAAATATAAACACATATTCGGCGATGTCTACACCTGAACTTGCAAGTAATATAATTTTTCTGGGCGTATCTGGACAGAAGCTGGATGACAGATATTCGAAACAAAAAATTACACACATTAAGATGTAAATGCTAGAAATAACACAGACCATAAGTCACTTTAGTACTCCATAATTTTACATACATTCAGGTAAGAATATCCACCCAATCACGTACACGAAACATAACACACAGGACAAAGTAACAAAAATGAGCCCTAAGACCAAACTAACAAGAGGAACTTTGTCAAGGATCCACAACTTTGTGCCTAAGGAGATTTAGAAACGTCACGCATGAGATTCCACACACAAATACAATAGGAGTAACTTCAAGAGATAGAAGATGGGTGTCCTGTAGCGCCGTGTAGTCTAGTAGGCGTTGACCGACGTTTCAGACGTACTTGCTACCTTCATAATCGGGACGACGAGTATTTCTGCAGCATGTTCATCTGAAACGTCGGTAGAGTCTACCAGACCACACAGCACAACAACACAGGAGACAGACATCTTTGTAAACACTGCCTTCTACGTGTTAAGCAGGTCTATTTAAAACATTCCACAAGAAATGAAATGTGTCGGCCCATCGATGTTCGTCTGTCTCGAGACATATCGAGAGTCGCACAGTCACCTGTTTGGTATTTTATTCATTGCGCGTGTAATCCAGTCTCTGTGGCCCATCTGAGTTACACGCGAGGTCTTGAATTAAAACATCCCAATGGCGGGACAGACTACAAGGGTGTATAATAAATCCCCGAACTCAATTGTTTTGTTAAGTTGCGCTTTGAATGAAATGACGAGGACATTACATGCAGAACGCATCTGACATCCAGTGGCGGAAGTATGAATTTTACAATTCAATTATTCCGTTATTATTCAGATCAGACAGACATACCGGAGGACAAGAATCTGGACACAGAATTTCTCATGGCTCAAGGAGTTCCCATTTTAGAAATTCAAGTCGTGTCTCCAGCAATCAAGTATAATTCTGAGCACGACTTACTTGTTTACTTTATGGGATAAGGTTTTATCCAGAAATTCTTCTACGTTACGATTAATCGAAATCCTGGGCCAAAAAATGGCGAGCACTTCATTCCGAAAAACAAAGTCCTATTGGCTAACGTACAGCCAATAACACGACAACTTCAGTACCCTGAGGAGGAGGACGAAGAAGGTTCTCAAAACGTTTTCTCCATTAAGCCACCTTACATGGCTAGTAGCCCGAGAAGAATTAATTACATTTCTAATATATTTGCAACAGCACGGCACGGAACAATAAATAAAACAACTGAATACGATGTAATTGCGTGAAGAATTTCTTAACTACGACCGGCGCACTCATAAATAACACAAAAATGGTGGATAAAGTAGGGATGTTCTGTGACCTATTTTAAATCCGTACCACGAAAAAAAGTGATTGGCCCACAGACCGAGATACGAAAACACGTACCTGAAGACGTGGCGCTAAACCTGCTTATCAGGGTCTACAATCGACTATGTGATACACGACATGACAGACAACTTGGTCACGATCCACAATATACAGACACTAACAAAATTAGTTACAGATTTTTATTAAAAGCGACAGAGTTGCTTCACGAACTCACGAGCATTCTGGCAACAAAATTACAGAACTGTACACGCATCACGACGGTGTATTTATGGGTTTCATTTAATCCGAGGCTAAAGAACGATTATTTCCCCAAATATCATTAACTGGCTGATGCAATGGAGACGAGCTGTGTTTTCTTTGCGGTAGGGAGTGAATGTTTAAATGTTATCCACATGAGTTTTGAGATTCAACTCCAAACAGCATTGACCAACTGACGTGTTTTCTTAGCGGTACGGACTGAATTTGCAAGTATAATTTAGATGCTCTTTGGCTTAAGAGGGTTAATATTATAACTTAGTTATAGTGGAAGTAAATTCAGAAAAAACTAAGTACATGTTAGTATCTCGTCATCAGAAGACAGGCGGGCAAAATTATCTTAGGGTGGCTAATAAATCCTTTGAAAGGGTTACAAAGTTCAAATATTTGGAAACAACAATAACAAATCAAAATGATACTTGTGAGGAAGTTAGGAGGAGACTAAATTCCGGAAATGCTTGCTACTTCTCAGTCCAAAATATTTTGTCTTCCCGTCTGATTTCTAAGAACCTGAAAATGAAAGTATACAAAACAATAATCTTGCCTGTTGTTTTGTATGGGTGCAAAACATGGTCTCTCACTCAGAGGGAAGAACACAGATTGCAGGTGTTTGAGAATCGGGGGTTGAGGAGGATATTTGGGCCTAAGAAGGAAGACGATGGGGCGTGGAGAAAACTGCACAATGACGAGCTTAAAAATCTGTACTGCGCCCCCAGTATTGTGAGGGTGATTAAGTCGAGAAGAGTGAGATGGGCGGGACATGTAGCGCGCATGGATGGGACAAGAGGTGTGCACCGGGTACTGGTTGGGAAACCTGAAGGGAAGAGACCGCTGGGGAGACCTAGACGAAGATGGGAGGATAATCTCAGGCGGGATCTATGGGAGATAGGAGTTGAAGGAAACTGGATTTTGTTGGCCCAGGACAGGGTCCGGTGGAGGGCTTTGGTTAATTCGGTGATGAACCTTCGGGTTCGGTAAGCCATCTAGTTAGTTAGTTAGTTATACCTCGATTCTCCGAATATCAATTCGATCCCGCATGGACTACACACCATTAACGGTGGCTGGTTAGGATCAGTTTATTTATTACGACGAAATGAGACCAATTTATACGACAATAATCGAGCCACTACCCAGAAGTCACCCATTCTTCTATTATTAGAACTGATCTTTCATTCCAGTCACGCAGTGTCTGACAAGACACTCGCCTTGTTTGTATTTAACATCATTACAGTGACGCTGCCTTGTCCAGCGGCGATGCGATAAATCGCCCTTACTTCAGGGACGATTTAAGAATCGTACTATTGCAATTCTTGGAAGAACAGAAGAAATCCGCTTTCCTTTCTTTAGATTAATATTTATACAATTCATCGATTATATTTCCGTGCAAAATGTGAACATTTCAAAATTTGTTATTCTCAGTTATATATTATTATTTTTAAAGTTTAAACATTATATAAACCAGACTTACGTTAAGAGTTAACCAACATTCAAGTTCGTCATAAAACAGCCAATTTTAAAGGTCCATCGTTATAAAAAAAAATTGCATAATACTAGTCTCCGAACGATAAAGTATAATGCTGACGTGTTATTAAAATCACTGTTCATTTTTCTGATTGGATGATACTCGTAGATCACACTGTTGCAATTTTCTTGCAACAACTGTACCCAGAATTGCAGCACTCCACGTGTCTAGCGTGCAAACACAGTTAAATCGACCTCCTTAACATCTGCGTCAACGGTACTAATCATATAATCGAACGAGAAATTAAGTTAAAGTGGCACAGATGTCACTTCATTGTTATGTAATGGAAACGGAAGATGTTCTTTGAGGTCAGAATCGAATATGATATCACACTTTCGCCGGCGAATCACGCCCATAAGTCAACAGAAGAGACGAGAGACAGGTGAGACTGACGAGCGTTGACGTAACAGCTTTCAAAGGGTCTGTTAAAGAACTTTAAATTTCCCGGCATTCCAAGGTTTCTAGATCAGTGTGACCAACAACACGCCCGCGATTTCCCTGTTATCTGTACAGCGCTGAATATAGGAGCAGTGCTTCAATACCGGCCACGACCGTTCTCTGTGCCTAAAAAAAGAGGGCACAAATTCATTAAAGTACACGCTGTGACGGACTAGAATGAAGTTAAAAGTTCCGTGGTAACTATATTAAAAATCTGTACTCATCCCCCAATATTGTCAGGGTGAAGAATGAGATGGGCGGGGCATGTAGCGCGCATGGATGGGACAAGAGATGTGCACCGGGTAGCCTGAGGGGAAGAGACCTCTGGGGAGACCTAGACGTAGATGGGAGGATAATCTCAGGCGGGATCTATGGGAGATAGGAGTTGAAGGAGACTGGATTTTGTTGGCCCAGGACAGGGTCCAGTGGAGGGCTTTGGTTAATTCGGTGATGAACCTTCGAGTTCCCTAAGCCATCTAGTTAGTTAGCTAACCTCACAGAAAGAACGGACGACCTTCGAGATATGTTTATTTACGAAGATCGTCGTGAGAGTTAACGTTTTTAATGTTGGTGACACTGAAACTCACTTCACTTAGCTA